TCCTGTGGTGGAATTAACAACCATTTACAACCGAAATGAAAATGGCAGCATCCACCCAGCGACCAAATTCAGAGAGTTAGGGGAGAAGAAGGGGTGGAAACAGGAAACACCGGAGAAAGCTAAATCCAGGACGGTACAGGGAGGGGGTTGCAAAGGATGAGTTGAAACACCCTTAAGTTGAAACCTTGACTGATGATCGACTCTGTAACCCTTCAATCCACAATGAAAAGTCGTTTGTTTTTAAATGATAAACTACTTTGAATCATGGCTATCCATTCTAGACTTTGGGATAGCCACTTCCAGTTAGTTGATTGCTGCTCCTAGGACAGAGTTGGGTTTCTTTAAACAGCGATAACAACAACCGTTTTATTGGCACTTCATCCACATATCAATCAATTCAGTCGTTCAGCCAGATCAAGAAGAGTTGTACCACTTTTACCACCATCAATGTCCGAAAAAGAACCAATGTTCTTTTCCCTGGACTCATTGTTTTTCGTGGATTTTTTTTTTAATTTTAGCAAAAATATACACAAGAAAGCATTCATCGATTCAACAACTTCTATGTGTATTATTCAGTGCCATTGATTATATTTTTCGTGTTGCACAACCAGTATTATTAGCCCTCTCCAAATGGTCCTGCCACCATTAAAACGAACTCAATGCCCCCTAAGCAAGCACTCTTCCTCCTTCACCCATGCTAACCACAGGTCAAGTTTGGTTCCTGTGCCCCCTCCCCCCCCCATTGGGGTTCTCAGAGTATAATTCTTTATGGGGACAAGCAGTGTCATCTTTCTCCCGAGGAGCAGCTGCCGGTTTGAACTGCCTTCCTCGCAGTTAGAAGTCCGCCCTTCAGCCCACCCTTAACCGGCACCACCACCAGGGTTCCTGTCTTCATAGGTGACAAAATGTCCATGTTCTACACAACAATACTACATTCAATGCAACTAAAATCTAGAGGAGTTTCTTAGGAGATTGACACACTTTCCAAAATTTCTGGAAGGACGAAAGGTCATGAAGAGCTAGGCC